GAGAGAGAGAGAGAGAGAGAGAGAGAGAGAGAGAGAGAGAGAGAGAGAGAGAGAGAGCTTATGCTCTCGCATAATCTCCATTATTTTCCATATACGTGAGCGATCATAATTAATACAAGCGTATTTGAACGCGGAGACAATTAGCAACGGTGAAGAAGGAAGTTTGGTGAACACCTCCGAACGAGAAGTCGTTGGCAAATAATTAGTTTCCCCCGTTGTTCTGGTCGATCCTTTTAGTTAAGCCTATCCCTTCGCGTCGCGCCGCACCGCGCCAACTCCGCGCGGTCGCGGTTCCATTGTAAAAAATCTTCAATATCTTTTTCTCTGCCCTTCCCCCCTCCCTTCAGTGGAAACGTAGTCGCCTTTTTTTGTACCCGTGCGCCATGTACAAGTATACATCTAACAATATAATATTCTATATAACCTACGGACGTTAAAGCGAATAAGATCACTTTGCATTCTCTCTCTATATACGTTTTCTAAAAACCCTTCGGATTTTTCTCGCCGGCCCTTAAAGCGCGTCATCAGGCGCCGTCCTAAGGAACAGGATATACGCAACTCAGACGTAAGAACGCGTCACTTTGTACGAATGAGTCTATTTGTTGCCAAATTTAGCGATGTTTTGCTGACGCAGGCATACCAGGAAGGATGGAGTTTCCGATGAATAAAATAATAAGAGAAGAGAAGGAATGTATACGCGCGTGCGACAATATGTAGCTGAAGGCAATTCACGGGTTAGATAAAATTGGTATCACATGCCCGGCTTTAGACAAGTCCGTCTTCTTTTTTCCATTTAAGCGCGACCCACGATCTCCGTTCTTATTTAAACGCAAACAGAGCGTAACTCGCGTGTTCGACGAACCGTTCAAATACTAGAAATTGTGATTTGCGCAGGCCGGCAACATCCAGCCTTTTGCCCGAAATCGAATATTTGAGGACGTTATATTGCCTCGGGCTAAGAACCGTTCGATTTCCAGTTTAGTTCTAGTTCAGTTTAGTTAGCTCTAGACATGAAGTACGAATACAACCCTTTAATGACAACCCTTTAAGCGTATTTACCGTCAAGGGAGAGTAGAGGGAGGGAAGGCAAATGGACGGTTTTACCTTAAGCGCGAGGCTTTAAGAGCCAGCTTAGGTTACCTTCGGGCCAGTTCTTGTCCGCACACGCGCTTCTTGTATACGCACATTATACCTGTCCGCGCTTCACGAGGTATACAGAGATACAAGATTGAGTTTCCTGTGTGTCGAATGTACATTTAATTATTAAGAAAACATTTATTCAGGCACGCAAGTTGGGCAGGGGAGCAGCGCGCAGCTAATGGAAGAAGCCGCGCGTACCTCAGGGATTCCCTCCTTCACTGTGTATTCGCTCAATTGAAATCGATTATACGGATTATACGGATTTTCTTGTTTTTTTCCGACCATCCTCAATTTTCCTTCATGATCTTCTTTCCTTGATCGCATACTCTTACCCAAAATTGGCGAGTGAAGTGTCGGGGGTTGGAAGGGATCGACAAAAGTAGGCGACCAAAAGAGTCGAGAGACGACGCGATCCTTTGTGGAAAACAGGAAAGTTGAAGAGTCAGATAATTGAAGGCTCTAATGCGCGAAGAGAACGAATGCCGAGTGATTTTTTTGTTTATGTTAAAAAACACGCACAATTATTACACGTCGAATTTCTGAATTCAAATTTTCTTACGATCATTTGTCGCGCCATTCTAATTGGATCTTTGGTCGACTTTTTGAGGAGGGGCTCAAAGGTACGCGCGGAACGCAAGAAGGCCCATCGTTAGACGAGTTTCGCACGCAGAAACAAACGACCGTGTCCGATCGACCCGGCTGACGCAGAACTCCCGCTTAGTGCGGTGTATCCTCAACAATCACATGTATATTTGTAGGTTGTGATTTGTGTAAAAACGAATTGTAAATCTTAACAATGTTGTTCCATATGAAATTTTTGCTCTGCGACAATTAAGAGACTTTTACTTTGAAATTTACAAAAGAGTTATCACTCGTGAAGAGGATGACGCGTGGAGCCGTGGAAAATTTGTATGGCAAAGTTATTTACAAACCTGCTTGAGGAATTCGTTGTTAGATAGCATTTGGTAGCTTTCCTCTAGAGATCCTCGAGTATGAGATTGGATCGTCCTGAATGGCGGATTAAATACTTAAGATAGAATGAGATAGACATCCATCTCATGCACCACCCTAAATATGGCAGAATCAAAAGTTGTCTAAATGATATTCAATCTCTTACTTGAAAATCTCTATCCTCTTCGCGGCAATTGTTTTCAAACTAGAAGCGGGCTTATATTATTGAAGCCACTTCTCTTGAAATGCTAATTGCCTAGCAAAAGTACCAACGAGAGTTCATACGAATGATCATCGATTAAATTCAGCAATTAAATGCGGATTACAGCGGACCGCCAAGTAGCTGACGCAAACAAGGATACGCTGCTCTAGACGAGAGTTCTCACATTCGTTTGTGCGAAGAGCAAGCCTGCAGCCAATCGTAGCGATCATATTTCCAACAATATACTGTATCAATTATGATACATCTAGCCGGCAAGACGCCAGCACCGATCGACAATTCTTGGGCACGGCCGCGAGGCGTGATCGCGCGCAAAACCGGCGAGGGGTCTTAATACGAGTGCTGCGGCTGCAGAGACGAGACTCAGCTGTGCGCCGACGTATCCGAGCCTTGACTGTTGCCTAGCCCACCCATGCCGGCCTGCGAAGTGAGCCTGGTGGCCGACTGCGATGTCGTGGTCACTGTGGCGGAGTGACTGAGGCCGTGATGCCTGCCGGTTTCTGGCACCAGGTGGGGCGTACGGCTGGAGACTGGCGGTAAGACCGGGCTGACCGGCCACGGGTGCAGGGACATGGTGCTGGGAGCGCTGGGCACGCTGCGTGAATGCGGCAGCAGGGGTGAGTTGGAGAGGCTGGCGAGGGGGTGATGCGCGGCGGACACGACGTTGCCGCCGCCGGAAACGCCCAGGCTCGTACCCAACGATATTGCTCCTCCGCCACCACCGCCACCGCCGCCGCTACCGCCGCCGCCGCCACTGGAAACCGCCATAGCTACCGCGGTATCCGGGTGGAGGAAGTTACGCCGTTGCTCCATCCGCTCGGCGTGCTGCGCCAAACAGCGGGTCAGCTCCTCGGGCAATAGTTCCAGCTGGCCCTGCAATGAAGTCAGCTTCTCCTCTAGGCCTACCAGACGATCCTCCAGACCCACCAGACGCTCCTCCACCGCGTCCTGCCGCGTGCTCATGTCCGAGACGATCTCGTAGACGGTGTTTTGTGTCTATCATGAATAAGATGCATACGTTAGATACGTCAACAAGCTTATCGTATCTAGATTCTGTCATTTTTAACGATAGTTCGATATTGTGTTATACTGTTACTGCGCGATGACAACTTACATAACTTTTTACTTATTTACTTTTTGACATTGTCGTCAAAAGTAACAGAATTGAGGTACTGGATGATGTAGAACAACATTGTGTTTACAATCATAAATCGGTTATTTTACATAACTAATCATGAAAAACTTTTCTAAGTAATTACGAATAAATAATAAAGACATTATTGAGTCTATAGAACTAAATTTTTTTGCGACAAAAATGGGAATAATTAATAAAATCCTGATTTAAAGGTCAGCTATTCTATCTAAACAACCACGGAAGCTTTGAAATGTAATCCCCTTCAATCCTCTCTGTACGCTGCTGCAATATTCCATCAAGCTTTACGAGAGGATGCAGGTTTCCCTTGTTAGCACAGAATCTCACCTTGGCCATGTCCGTTATAGTGTTGGCGTTGTCCATCAATTTACGCTGATCCATTTTCACCTTTCTGAGTCTGAAATTTCGAGGTAGTTTGTGATTACGCATTGGCCTAACTATGGTGACCTAATAGGTCTGGAGTGGTATCAACTTACGCGTATATGGCCAACAGGAATTTCCGCTGATGAGTCCTCACGCGTCCGGGATTGACGCGCTTCACCAAACGGGTGTGCTTGTAAATCAGCCACGTTTCCCGCAACACGTTCGCCGCGGCGTTCTTTAACTACAACAGAACAACAACGTTTATTGTCATTCAAAGCTCCCTTCAACACCTGAACCTTTCATCGGTATCCAACAGGGTCTCTGGGATATCATATCAATATTGTATTGGAAATATATCCTCATCACTCTTAAGGCTTTAAAAAGTTTTTCAAGGTTTCCACCCTAGACGATGAAGAGATCATTTATTACGTCTTCAGGGTTATATATATATATATAATTTTATTTATAGGTTAAAAGAATGCCTGCAGGATATATATAGGGTGTACTTTCGTAGTTTGAGAAGGAATTGTTCAAACTATATTCGCTGAGTAAACATTATGTTATAGCAATAATTGCACAATTGTTAACTATGATATTCAATGTCACGATCAATTATTTCTTTCAGAATCTTGAGGAGGGTTGTCTCAAGAAATAATGAAAGTCCTGTTGAGAACATATGTTCTACATGCGTATTTTGGCTTCGTATGAGTGTCAATTAAAAAGAAAAAAATTGCAAGATCACGTTTCTCTTTCGTTAATTACATCACGCTATACGGTATATTGTCAAGGAAAAAGAGTATTACGCTCGTTACACAAATCTTATATGGCCCAGAGAAAAAAAGTATTTCGAGAGGACTGACGTTTGTTTTGTTGCCGCGCTGATGGGATCAGATCGATTCCGCTTATGCAATGACGTGAAAAAAAGCGATATGCGTTTGAGGGTTAAAACAGCGTAAAAAGACCGTCGATACGGTCACGTGTATAGCTCTACGTTACCACTCCTTGATATTTGCAAAGTTTATAAATAAACGCTGGCTAATAATTATTTCAGTAGCCGTATGGTTGAAGACTTCGATCCGGAGGTGGAGAGAAGCGGTCGTACTTATGCAACCACACGTTCACGTCGTGCGGAACATCAATCTAAATCATAAACGAAATATTTCGAGTTACAGTTTCAATTAAAGCGGTTCGTCGGAATATTACAAAAAAAAAAAATATTTTTAGACGTGCCTTTTTATTTCTGAATAATTTCGAAATATTTTTAAAATAAAGTCCGTCTGCCTTCGCGTGCGGTAGGATTGCAATTCGCTGCATTAACTCTTTACTTCTGACATCAGCCGATCGATTATGTCACGATCTGCGGAACATGTACAACGAGTTGTCAAGGGTTTTTCCTCGTAGAGAAATTAACGATGGAAACGTCCATTTTTCCAGCTCCTGCGTTATTCTTCGAATTCTAAATTAGTGCTGAATTTCCCAAGTGACTTGCGGGCTCATTGATTTTGTTTTTGTCTTTAAAACTGAATTGCCACTAAGGACGTAACTTTCAAATCTCGTATCCTAAAGCGCTCGAAACTCCTGTAAGTTTTTGTCCTAGCTCCTAATATTCACTATTCAACTCCCAACTACAGGCGGCCGACTTCTCAACTTATAATTTAAGTTCAATGAAACATGCCGGTGAATTATGGTGTCTATTATTGTTATAAAGTGTCCCAGAAATGGCAAAATTTTCCGTGCGATATATGTATATCAGAAAGCGAGTTTTGCAGCAAACGTTTCATTATCGTGACTTTCTTCAAGCCGCCTTTTTATTTATTTAGAAGTTTGTTAAGATTAAATCGATCGATGTCATGTTCTTTTTGTGATGATGAAGGTTAAAATGATACATTAAGTAGCCGACTTGTTCATCTCAATATAATCAATACCATTTTGTATTTTGTTCGAAAATCAATTATTAAAATTTTTATGCTAAATTTTTAATATATACGCGAGTTAATTTAATCGATTATGTTATTTGAATGTTTGATGTTGAATTCAATATTTAATATTCAACATTTTATGTTTTTATGTTAAGAATAACACAATTTATAAATAATTGAGCAAATTACATAAAAATAATGTTAAAAAATGTAAATTTTAAGATAAATGAATAAAATATGCCCATTTAACATATTATAAATAATAATTTTATTGGAATGTATTAATTTTACTAAAACATATTAATATATTGTAAATGTTTATTAATTTTTTTAGATTAATTTTACTGAAAGAATATATTTCCAATTTGATTAAAAAATGTATCTATATTATATTTTTGTGATAATTTTTATATAATTGCTTTCTAATATATTGTGTTAAATAAATACAGAAATTTAGATGTTTAGGACAAGTCAAATATGTTAAATTTAAAACATTTTCTAACTGCGAGAAAAATGTCGCATTTATTTATCTGAATGGACAATTCGATAATACTCTCTACATGTCTACGACACGCATTTTGTTTGACTCGTTTAATATAAAAAAATTGTGAAAAACATTCAAATATTTAAGTTTCTCGAATCTAAACTTCTCAATTCGGAATTCTTACAGTTGTATAAATTTTTAAACTCTACCTCATGGATTTTCTATGGTTAAAACTTTTCTTTCACACATCTGTTATTGTTCTCATTATATTTTGAATTTCTTTCTTCGAGATTAAATATTCAAAGTTTCGAGATTATTAGGTGATATTTTTAGATTTTTGGATTCGCATTCTCCCAGATTCTCAGAATTCGTCTTTCGCTGTTTCTTTTCCTAGAATTCTAACATCCGACGTCGCGCACTTTTAATATTATCTATCTCGGTACCGCGATATAAAAATTAAGAATTCCGATTAGCAATGAAGGGAAAGTTCTGCCTAAAGGTCAAAGCGACTTCATGCAGTCCGCTTATTTCCGAGACAACCTTACTCGCAGTGGGATACTTTCTTATTACGTGGCTCAGCCAGAAAATTACGTCGCACTGTATATACATAGAGAGTGATATCCATCATGCTCTCATTATGTGCTTAATTCGCTTTCCTGATTCTTGCGGAATACTCTCAGCGAGTATAATTTCGAAACCACCTTTGCAATTATGTCTATTACTGCTACTGTTCTCTTTGGTAGAAACTTTAAGAAATTTTATACCATCTTTAGTTGAAAGCCAAGCATTATCTCTATCATCATTAGAGACTTTTTACCGTAAAAATCAAAACATTAAAAACTTTAAGAGCTTTGCAATTTAAATTTAAATACACGTAAATTGAGAAATTTTTAAAATTTCGCGAGCGTTAATGAGTTCATTAATTGCTCATCAGTTTTTAATCTATTTTATTCAAAATACGTTGATATTTAATAAATCGTTTCATCGTACATCATCTAAGAATAATGGCCAAAAGATGACTTGATATAATTTCTTCTTTTATTACTACTTGTCGTCTTACTTTGGAAACTTATTTACTATACATATCATTAAAAGTTGGCTCCCTTAATTCAGAAACTTGCGCTGGATATACAAGAACATCGCATAGTTAATTGTTATAATACAGAAAAGTAACTTGGATACTTGTAAAATTCTTAGCTTAATCTTCTGTATTTAAATAAGGATAGTTTGAACAAAAAGAAAAGTTACTTTATATCATCCCATTATATTATTTATACATATACATGAATTCTATTTAATCTCTTGTATTTTGAATTACTTTTTTTTTTAACTAAATTGATTTAACGATGATAAGAGTACATAATATTGTATTATTATTTTAAGAAAATTTCACAAAAAGTTTTGCAAAACAAGTCCTGCAATAACAAGTCAAATCGAAAATTGAAAATCAATTTTTCTGAAGCTTTTTGACAAGCTAAATGAATGTTTAAACAAAAAGTTTCAAACAAAAGAGCAGACATATATCTCTTCATTATATCGGTCGATACAAAAGTGGTACGTACTATTGTAAGGCTATTATAGATTAGTATAGACTAATATAAAACTAGTATACCAGTTCTCTTTATAAATTCCAAGTACTTTCTCTGTTCGATCCGACTATTCGCTAATCTTTTACAATTTTTTTACGTCTTTTTCCAATGTATATTTTACAGTCAATAATTTTAAATCAGAATATTTCTGTTGTATTAGGAGTCTGTTATCATTTATTATTTTACATCCGTTAATAGCATTTGTTATGTAAGTATTGCATTTCATCGCGGCAACGTAACTCCCTTTTCTCTGTATTATTACAACCGCAAAGCTACTATTAACACAAAGGTCTTACAGATGCAACGGCTAGGACGGAACGCCACAGACAATGGCCTTACCCTTTTCGTTAATTGTGTGTCCATCATAAAGTTGTGCACGTGCTTCTCCGCCCGCGTAAGCTCGAGCTTCCTGGAGACGACTGCTACCAGCAAAGCAGTGCACCCCGCGCCCTGAAATTTCGAGAAAATGCAATTTCTCGTGAACTTCTCTTTCACATGAAATTTGTAGATCCTGAAACTTCCACTTTCCGCGCACTTCTTTTAAGAACCTTAAGTATATACGTCCGTTTTCCGATCCCTCAAGCTGAATGTAATGAAAAAAATCGTTTTGTTTTATTCAAGATATGTCCTAACAGCTTCTTACGGTCCTTTGTAGGTTCTCTAATCTTCGGAAAGTCTTCCCTTCGAGAGTAAGAAGTAATCAAACTTAAGAAGTCTGATCAAAAGAATATGGTGAGTGAACAAATGCGTATGCCATTGAGTTAAAAAATTGAGGTCACCGATAAAAAGGAGAATTTTCCAAGACCTACAAAAAATCGTAACAATTTCCTTGTAGAATAAGTGAAAAAAAAATGAAATAAGAAAGAATCGTTTTCGTTGACTCAATGCGATATTTCGATTTGTACAGTATTTGTATTTGTACAGTTCGATACAAGTACACATTTCGTACAGTACACATTTCGTATACTGAGAAAAATATTCTGGTTAAACCAACAGAAAGACCCAACCAGAATGGCAGATTTTGGTAAGATTAAACAGAATTTTTCATCTCGCCAAAATGCTATTCTAGTTGTATCGTTTCATTAAGTTTAACGAGAATATTTTTTCCGCATGCGGAAAAAATTTTTGGTATTTGTGAGACTAATTGCATGATTTATAAAATTATAATTGCTTTCGGGAACATATATTTTCTTTTGGCATATATAGAACATAATTATTCTTACTTAATTAAACATAATTATTACTAATATTACAACAATAATAATTATGCAGCAACAAAAATGGAACTAATCATGCAATTGTCACAAATACTAAAAATTTTTCTCTCATTGTCAGTATAATTGAGAGAAAAGTTTTTGAAAGAAAAAAAAAATTTCAAATAACAATTTTTATCATAATAGAGTTATTAATTTAGTTGATTTTTATTAGGTAAAATCTGTCTCATTAATCACTAAATTATCTGTTCAATTGTAAGGAAACGACGTGATTAGAGAGAATTGTTTTTCATTTGCTGTTTGCAACTAATAGCAAAATTACACTAAATGCAGATTAATTTCACAGAATTTACGAGATGCATTTACAACATTATATACTCTAATATAGAATTAAATTTGTATTTGTAATTATAATTACATGTTACTATAATTATAATTGTTGCTGTAATGTTAATAATAATAACTGTATAATATAGAGTTCTATCAAAATATATGTTTGTCAACCAAAACTATACTAAAAAAGAAAAGATTGATTGAATATAGCATAGCATTTTATTGGCTGCAGCAACCTGCCAATCTTTTCTTTCATTATTACATCATAAAAATGCAATTACCTTTTTCATGAAACAGGAACGTTTCGGAACGTATTGTAAATTATGTTCGTGACTGAATTTCCGAAAACAACTTGGAAAGCGGAAGTTTCCGAGGAATTAGCTCGTGTTGTTGGAACTAGCGCTGATCAAAGCTTGGCGCTAACCACGAGTGCTAACGGATTAGTGGGGAGCGTGGCTGGAACAAGATTGGGAAGGAAGAGATGGATAATGGATAGGGAAGAGTGATAATATAATAAGGAACGGCTTGGGCGTTCCCCGAGGGAACGAGTGGATGTGGCGTTTATTGCGTAGTCTAAGCAATGGCCTTAATGACTAGCGGTTACCGTGCGATCGTAAACTCGAAAGCGCCGAAACCTGATGGCGGTGCACAAATCACGGACAAGCGATCTGCAACTCGGACCGGCACACGAGCGAGATCGATCGATTGTCCGCTCAGTTAAGTGACGCTCATTACGCTTGTCCAGCAGTAATGAAGCTTGGAGCTTAATGCACGAGTTACATCGGGTTACATGCCTGCGGAGTCGTGCGTCTCAACTCGGTTGCGGTCGCGTATATTGTGCCCCGATAGTTTGTGGTAACTACGGTAAGGATTAATGACCGGTGTAATCGACAATACGGCGCGTAATCCGACAATCGTAATTTTCGATGTCCTTATCAAAACAATTTGTTAAGACAAGTCGCGTTTAAGAGAATTATTGAGAGAAAAATGTGCGGTATTTGTGATTATAATTGATAATAAATAAAATAAATAATAATTTTATTGTCATTTTTATAATTATTACTGCAATAATAATAACTTTATATCTATAATTCTATTAAAAAATCATATTATCATGATGATTTCAAATTTAATAATAAAATCAAGATGAACAACTAAAAAAAATAAATATTTTTATGTATAACTGTTTGTATAACATTTGCTTGCAATTTATGTGATAATAACAATTAAAAAAATGTGTAAAAGAAAAATAAAGAACAATTATTTTCAAAATATATGATTAGTACCACTATATAGTTAAATTATGATAATTGCAATCATTTTTTTCTCTCAATAAAGAAATCCAAATATCTCTTTTTTTTGTTTAAGAAAATAATTTTAATTAAAATAAAAATATACAATTACTTTCGAATTAAATCTTTCCTGCAACAGCGTTACATTTCTCTCGTGGATCGTCGTTGTACGCGACAGAAGACGCTTTATCAATGTTACCGCGTTTCTATTACAGGATCAACGTCGCAAGTAATGTATTAAATAATCGATAAGAGTTTGCGAAAACGGTAAGAATCTCGATTTGTATAAGCTAGTTTATGTTTTGCATTATTCTCATCCTTACCATCATTCCGGTGGAGACGGCTATACCTCGACCGCAGTATGTATTGGGCACGATGTCGCCGAAACCGACGCTCAGGAACGTGATGGCGATGAGCCACATGGCGTTGAGGAGATTTGCATGTTCCTCATCGTGGAATCTACGGTAGCGAAATGACAGATGTATTACTTTAATTAATTGATGAAGCATGCGTGCGAAGATAAATGTCTTGATATCTTACCCTTTCTAGACCCTTAAACTCTACGAATTGAATATTTCAGACCTTAAAATACCTTATTCGAAACTTCAAGACTTTAGATTTCTAAACGGATTGAAAGTTATAGATACTCTATTCAGAAACAGATAATCTCTTTTCGAACTATCCTTAAGAGGATATCGAGAATAATTAGATTCAGAGCACCGTGTAATTCCTTTCGTGCATTACGCGCTTTAATTGATATTACATTGTAAAATGGTCATTTCAAGATATCTGTTTTAATGTTCGCGATATTAGAAAGACATTACGATTTAGATTACGGAATTCCTTGATTCTTCTTTTTATTGGCGACTCGACTATGTTTTGTCGTAACCGGTGTTTAATCTTCACCGGAGGGCTGAGCGACCGCTCTAGGGTGGGCTACGGGTAATGCAGAATGAAAGACAACATGCTCCCCACGAGATTCATTATCGGGCGCAAAGAGGATTGAGATGACAATGCGAGCGACGTACCAGGCTGTAATCCAACGTCGTAAAGCGACTTTAACAACCTCGTTACATGGCCGATGTTACATGATTTCGTATTCGACTAGTAAAATCATCTTTTAGAGCTCATTAAGGGTTCCGGCTTTCGATATCTAAGAGCCAACTAGATCGGTTGATTATTTCGACTTCGCCGGACAACAAATCAACACAACAATTGTAATCATGAGATCCTAACCAGGATTACATCACTGTTGATTGTTGTTGGTGTCGTTATGTGTCGTTGTGCAGCTTTTTCATCATACAAAATATCTGTGCAACGATAATGTCATCTATCGATATATAAAATAGCACCTTAGATAGCAAGCTGTTACTCGTCATTTTGATATCAAAAGGACATTAAAGATGTTATTTTCATGTTAAAATAACGTTAGCTGCTGTCTGAGAAGATGATATACATAAAGAATCGTATATTCTTCACTAAGGGAATAATAACGTATGTTCTATCAACAAATATATGGTTGACAACTAAAAATGAATTGCATTACTCATTTTTCTCCGCTTGTAGCAGCATTTTTCATGTCAAATATTAATTTGTAATACAACACTTACAACCCATACAATAAAAATTTTGGCACTTGTAACGTTTTGCCATGACACACTTCAATTAATATTATTAATTAACGTAAGTTAAATGGATTTTACAGAGATCTAGTATCAGTAACTGTATTACAGATTTTGGTTTCATCTTCGGAAGATTAATGTCTTTAAATCGTAGCGCAATAACATTTTATTATCGTAACAAAAATTAACGACAAAAAGGAAAATCTTTTCAATGAGATTAATCCGTGTAACGAACTTTACTCTTCCACTCTCCCACTTGGTTCCGATAAAATTGATGATTCGCGCTTGATGTAACAAACGGTCCACTCCATAGAAACCCCATAAAACGGATTATTTTCGCAGTAACGCTGATTGTATGACTGATTGTTGGCCGCGTAAATCGTTTTATTGTCGTGGAAATTTGCGCGGCTACGTGCAGATGCACACTGAATAAAATATCATTTGTATTTCGTGACAATTTCCGGTCCCATAATCCGAGAGTAAAATTGGCCGCGGGGCCCGCACAATGTATACGTTGATGTGAGAGCAAAATTATCAAATTGATTTTTTAATTTTGAATTTAGATGCAAATACGCAACCGCAAATTCGATAATCTCGAACCGCACGCGTTAGTTGAATAATACAACCTCGCTGGTCGATATCATATACGATTTATTTTGTAAAATGATTTGGAAATATTTATTTAGTTTTGATAAATAAACATTTTACGCAGTTTACGAGAAAACTGACAGCAGCGGAAATTCATAATAATGATTGATAATGATAATCATGAAACATAATTTATTACTATATGATGCACTGAAAATCATGACGTTAAACTTTATTAAATACCACCAACAACGTTTACAAAATAGAGATTTAAATAAATTTAATACAACTATTACTATAATGTTTCACATGATATATGTTTGAATTGACAGTAATGGAAATTGATAATGTTTTGCCATAGCACAATTTATAATTCGTAACATTGTAATTTGTAATATTAAATTTGGCTAAAATATCGTTAATAAATTATTAACAAAATGGACATTTGAAAAAAAATTACTTATTAAAAAAAAAATCATTCTATTAGATATATTTTTTATCGGTACTTCATGTATGCGTCGTATTTACGTAATAAAATAAAAATATAAAATTATCAGAATAAAAATTAAAATTCCTTTCGTAAATACCGTTTCATTTGCTGAAACATTCCGCGAGGCATTGCGATGTTCGAGATATTCTCGTATTCATTTAGCATACGTCGGAAATTTATCGGAAAACCGAATGTTCCTAGCATTATCGAGTCATATTATCATAATCGACTATCGAATAAAGGTGGAGGGCGATAAATCAAATACGAGCCATTTCCGAAGATTGCCCTACGAGCAACAATGAAATAGCCAGCTGACATTATCATGGTTTAAAACCGTTCATCCTGCACCGAGGAATGCAGAATGTTAGAAGCAGCCAGTAACACGTCGACACATATTTCGCCAAATGATAAATATTTCAGTTAAGGACGTGGGTGGAAAATCCTCCCATCATCCATTAAGAAGAAGCGAGTGGGTTTTAGAAGACGGCAGGTAAGAAAGATCCTTTTTCTCCGAGCTATACATAGCTGTAGGGATCAATGGCAGACACCTTGTATCGTCTGGTGAATTGATTATTCCTGAAATCGGCGCAACTATTTATGGCAAGAATTTAATTATCAGTCAGTCTCTGAGATCCGCTAAATCTCCGCGATCGTCAGCCAGCAACCCCAATCGGGGATTCCGACCCGCTTTGGCGGAAGGATGCATTGAGATTTATTATTACGGCGCGGTAGTGCGACGGACGGACGCGCCATTAGGTCGTAGATCAATCATCGTACGCAAATGAGTTGCAACCATAGAGCTGTGTATGATTCCAAAATGCACGTGTCATGCTGCTCTTCCTCCATTCGAATAATGGATCGCGTGGATAAAACGAGATCTGTTGCCATTACTAAGTTTCAGTTGCTATATCGCGTAACGTGAAGAAATCATATCTTCCTAACAAAAAATTTACATCGAGAGAAAAGTGTTTAGTACTTGGGATTGTAATTGCATGGAAAAATAATTATGGTT